TGTGTGTGTGTGTGTGTGTGTGTGTGTGTGTGTGTGTGTGTGCGTGCGTGCGTGCGTGCGGGTGTATACTCTATTTCCCGCTCCCCGACCCCACCCAACTGTGAGACTCAACGCGGCGAAACACGCGAGTTTCCGCAAGCTACATCCGTTCTTATCTATTTCACGTTCAGGTTTCTACTCACGTCTCATCCTACTCATCCTACTACGAGCCGTTTTCACGTCATTGCCTTCATATTAGAACCAGCCGTTGGTGTCGCGCGCGAGAACGCGTGGCAAACGCTCCCAATATCACGTTCTCCAGCTTCCGTTAGTAAACTCCCAGCAGTACAGCCGGCAGTAAAAGTATCTGAGCGAGAAGTTAACTGCACCCCATGATACTGTCAAACGATACGGAAAGTATTCTGAAACCACTGACACACGAGTGCACTGAAACTGTACGCACGATAGATTCACAGCATGCCTGAACGATGCGTCCATGCAGAAGGTAGTAAGTCTGGCCCTGAAAGTGCTGCAAGTGACGGAGGAGTGAAATCACGATATGCACCTAACAGACAAGGCTATGCCTACCTTTCATATATTACATCACGCAGGTGTAGCAACAGCAAATTATCTACACTACACGCTTCCATAAACAACTGCTGCTGCATGCTGCTACCGATATTAAACTGCCCAGGAAATAAACGCGCGCTCACATATTGCGTTTAATTACTATCGTGTGGCTAATTGTTATATTGCTCGTACGCACGACGTGGTTGTGACAGACTAGGTCCGGCTAGGTAATATTTGTTTGCGCACCGGCGCCCCCTGGTGTCGCTCACCGTGGAATCGGTCGTGTAATATCGTTAAGGCGAGTCTGGCTCTAGCACCTTAACAGAAGCGTGAGAATACGTCGCTAACGCATATTCTACGCACTTCTAAACTAATCTATCGACCGTATTGCGGCTACATACGCATGTATATATATATATAATTATGCTAGACCGTACAGACTACAAAACTTTTATTCTATATCGCACAAGCGAAAGTCTAGATATTAGGCTAAATTTTCAATCGGATCAGAACCGAGTAAAGTTACGCTGCGCATGCCCAGATACCAGTTACTGAGTACCAGCTATAGAATACCAGCTATATAGAATACCAGCTATATAGAATACCAGCTATAGAATACCAGCTATATAGAATACCAGCTACAGAACACCCGCTATAGAATACCAGCTACAGAACATCCGCTATAGAATACCAGCTACAGAACATCAGCTATAGAATACCAGCTACAGAATACCAGCTACAGAATACCAGCTATAGAACACCCGCTATAGAATACCAGCTACAGAATACCAGCTACGGAATGCTAGCTATAGAATACCAGCGACAGAGTACAAGCTCTCACAAACGATAAACTATCTAACTAATACGCTACTGAGATTATAGGAGGCTTTTGCAACCATGCACCAGTTATCAGATACATCATATATAGTTATGACATGTCACAAATCTAATAACATTTGATGTCAAGTTCCGTGGAAAAGTTTTTGACCATTTCACATTAAGGATTGTCATTACGCAATTTAAAAATCGTAAACATGTAGGAAAAAACCCCGCTCGTACGCTCATCAACGACGAAGACAGAATGTCGTAAGCGATTTAAAATTGTGAACGCATAGGATAAAACTCCACTCGTGCGCTCATCGACGACGAAGACAGAATGTCGTAAGCGATTTGTAATCGTCACGCTCGGAAGAAAACTCGCTTGCTGTGCAACACGACTTGCAAGCACTGCTCATCCACATTTTATTTTCCTCACACGTGTTTTCACTGCCGCCTGCAACGATGACGTCAGGCGACGTCGCGATGGCAACAGCCTCACAATCACCGCAGCAACCGTTCAACATTTGTAATTTAGTTCGTAGACTAATATAACTGCCGCCCTCGACTCTTGACTGCCGTTTAACACACCACAGCAACTGCGCGCTGTCTCTTCACTGCCTGCGCTCCATAAGAATGAAGCCGCGCCAACATTGTGCGACTGCAAACGATGATTACCTATACGTCACATAGAGGGCAGCACCATCCAGGCGATAGCAAGTGCTAGGCAGCAATAAGGGGGGGGGGCATAGGCATAGGCAGATCCTAATAAATAAAATATAAGTATGATAAACGACTAGAGACTTAATCCTTGTACACGATTAACGAAACAACACGCGCGTACGTACAAAACGCTGGCTCAATGCTGCAGTCCTTACCACAAACACACACGCGCACAAAAACATTACACGTCTAATTCACCCCTCCGTTGAAACAACCTACATAATATAAATACCCTCCTTTAAATAATAGCTACGAATCGCGACACCGGCCACACTTGTGTACATTTCAAGTGAGTATATATTAAACGAAAGAACAGCGGCGATCTTTTCCCATCAATTGCAGTAACGGTAGATTAACGTTACCGACGCTATGAAATGCTACCTTCGCCAAACCTTTCCTAATCTCCGTCTTTATCCTCTGTCTAAATAACCTAACAATTCCATCTTTTCTCTTCACTCGCACGGACAGTGTAAGTTCCCAGTGCACGATCCTAACTTTAGCCGTGGCACACGGTGACACCTGCTAACACCGGAGTCAGCTAGTATATATATATATATATATATAACAAATTCAAATAATAGGTAATGGGTGTTTAAATTTTAATCAGCGAGCTTTCGAGGCGTACATCTCTTCTTCAGGCTTTCAGCTGACATTAGAATCGATCGGCAATTAAAAAAAAAATTTAACTTATTGTATTATATATATATATATATATGCAGCATGTAGTCACCTCAGCCACTGTCTTATTGCTTTACTTGGGTCGCACATTCTTATACAGAGAGGCGGTATACATATAAGCCGGTCGTCTCTAGGAAACAACACGAAACTCGATCCCGCGGCGGCAGTGCCAACTGATACGTATGACACTGATACGTATGACACGTATACCTGGCGATACCGACTACATCAACATGTAAGGCGCTTCTCTATCTGTCAGCTCAGCAGCAAGGCTTACTCGTTACTTGCTAATGCCTCCATGGTTTCACGGTCAGCCAGTCAAGGACAGCGGTCAAACTCAGGACTGCCGACAACCGCGGCCGCGCCCGGACGTCGGCAGCGCCCCCTAACAGAACGTCTGCCCGCGTGACGTCACAATGACTGATCAGGAGTGGGCAGCGGGGAAGACGTACGCAGAAACGTTTTGCGCGTTTAATCCTTGAAGTGTTTAAAGCTTCCACTCCGATCCGATGGATCCGATGGATTCGATGGATGGTTAGTGATTTTTCCGATGGATTCGTTGATCTGACTGTTTGTTTGGTCGGATCACTTGATCTCGATCCACCGAACCCGACCCTGCTGGCGAGGCGGATTCGAACGGGATCCAATATGGCGGCCCGCGCCTCAGCCAATCACAGCTTGTTCTTTGTTATGAACCATCCCGTGATAGGTCACAGCGAAACGTGAACCAGTGAAAGTGAGTTTGCGTTTGTTTGGTCGGATCAGGATCACATGATCTCGATCAGACGGATTCGTCCCAAACAAACGCACCATTATGGATAACATAATTACCAGATACCATAAGAGATTCCATAATACCTTAGATTCATTAAGAGTGCGCGTGTACGCTGAATTGGCTTCCTTGCCAGGCGCAGCAGGCAGTTGCTAGCATCAGGTTTAACTGCGCCTGAGTGCCATTGATTAAAATGCAAACGGATGTTTTCAACAGAAGGAAAATCGCCAAATGAGACGCAATGCATTTAAGGCTTTGTAAAAAATGGCAATTTGTTAGCGAGCTTGAGTCTCTCTGACCGTGAACCACAATTAAGCAAATTCAATTCAAAATTCAATTCAAGCACAAATAAAAAACGTAAGTGGCTGTAAACGGCTTAAAAATATCGGTCTCTTTTACTCGCTCACTCACTCACTCACCCTCTTTTACTCTCTCCCCTTTCGCTCTCTTGACGTGCGGGCACGCCACCTCTACGCACAATCATTGACAAGCACACTGACTAATAAAACCCAAAGCAACACCAACGAGCAGCCGCCATAGAGAGCGCGTCAATCAGCATGCCTTAAACATACATGCCAAACCTAGCGACAGAAAGCGTGGGGACTGCCAACCCTCCCTGTAACGCCATGGACACTCCCCGTGATATTGCGGACAATGTTATATCCCTTGGTGACACTGTGTCCACCTACCCTTTTGTGACAGAGTGTCCACGAATCCCTCTGTGACACTGTGTCCACCAACTCCCGTGACACGGTGTCCACCCACACCTTTGTGACACTGTTTCCACCCACCCCTCTCTGACACTGTGTCCAGCAACTCCCGTGACACCGTGGACATTAGCCAACCCCCGCGACACTGCGTCCAACCATGTGTGACACCGTGGACACTGACCACCCCCGCGTGACTGTGTCCACCTACCTCCGTGACACCGTGGACACTACCCAACCCCCGCGTGACACTGCAAACGCTGTCGACTCCCAGCCCTTCGTGTGACACTGCAAACGTTGTCCACTCCCAACCCCTCGTGCGACACTGTCCTGTCCACTCCCAGCCCCTCGTGTGACACTGTCCTGTCCACCAGCAACCCCCGCGCGTGACACCCCCTCGATCAAGGTCCCTCGCTAGCTGGACTCATCATGTTCGGGCCATCTTCGTCGAGATGCTGCGTGTACTTGGGTCCGGACGCGGCCGCTGCCGTGTGTAGGTGCACCTTCTCCGAGTCGTCCTGCTCGTCGCTCTTCATGAGGAAGTGCAGGCTGAGGTTCAGCTGCGGGATGTCGTAGAGGACGGCGAGGATGAGCATCATGAAGATGAGACCGATGATCAGATAGCCTGCGGAACGGTGACACAGAAACACACGTGAGATAGATAGAAAAAGAGCACGCGGACGAGCGACAGAGAGAGAGAGAGA